TCCTGCTCTTGCCAAGGGCTGAATAGTCAGGAGCAGTTTCCATTCATGGAAATAGCTCCTGATGTTCTCAGATTTTTTTATTAACTTAAGAAGATGTTTGGCAAATACCATTTACTCCACAACTGGTTTATTACAGAATTTTAACTATGGTACTTAATTGTGGTTCAATGTTATTCCCACATTTAAACAAGTGTAACTCTTGATTTCATGTGAGTTCTCAAGTCTAAGCAAACTTAAAATTCATAGACTGTGAGCATTTGACCTTAAATTTACATTGCACACCATTAAGCCTCAAGCACAAGAAGGATGGCATAAAAAGAGGTTATGAACAGAACCAAAGCAAATTCACTTGCACGTTCAAATGAACGGTGACGGAACATTCTCATGGCACTTGCTCTCCTTAACTCCACCCCAACAGCCAGCTCCGTGGAGCACTGACCCCGCTCCCACACTCACCCCCATGGCCACCACTTAGCACCACAGCAGCTGGAATCCTCAGGAAAAGCCATCTACCTCAACAGCCTACAAAGTCTTTACAAAAATCAATGGTCTCTGAAATGCACACCTGAGGGCAGCATCAAAATACTGCCTCTTGAGAAGTTGGTATATAAACTACAAGATCCTAATAATTATCAACTTTAAAAGGAAATGACTTGCTGTTAAAATAATTTCTTAGCTTTACTTCCAAAATAGAGCTAGGAAACAGAGATGTAAAATAATAAATCTGGTGGAAAATGATTTCTCTAAGGGGATCAAAACTATTTATGTATTTAGGCAAAATATCTTTCGTAGATGGCTGCTAAAAACAAAGACAGCATGTATTTATTTCAGTGTTTTCAAACCCAAATCCTTTATTTCAGACATGCTGAAACATTCTGTTTTAGTGCTTTTTAGCAAAGTGTTTGACCTTTTGCCTTTTTTTAAAGAAAACTTTTTAAAATATTACGCTAATTTTAAAAGTTAAAAGAACAAATTTTAAAAAAAAAGGTAAAGTAGAAGAAAGCAAATAATTGGAAAAGAAACAAAGTATTATATAGAACTGCAAACATTTATTTTCTGGCTGACTGTAACAAAGCTATTTAGATATTCTACCAAACCTGGTGAAAATTGTTTTTCTCCCACAGGTCTATTCAGTTCAGGTAAAAAAAAAAAAACCACAACATAAAATCCATTATTTTTCCAACTGTTTTGGCATCTTTTTTTCCCAGACCTGTATTGGTGCAGCTCAACAGCCTTTGCAAAATACAAGACATCTTACACTAGAGAGAGCTGGAGCACTGCTGTCAGGATGTACAATACGATCATCTCTGCGAATACTGAAGAGACAAGAGTCTGGAAGGGGAAAAAAAAGAGCCTTTGTTCTGATTGTATTAGACGGCTTGACAAACTCTTTATTTGAGTATGTGCTTCCTCGAATCACCTTTATTTTATTAGTAATAATGGGTAAAACTGAGCTATTAGAAGCAGCTTGGCGATCAGCAACAGCCACAGCGATGCTCAGGGAACAGTCAGTAAAGAAAAATCTTTTAATGGATTTATAGCAAAAGGAGAAGTTATACAATCAAATTCCTACAATGCTAAAATTCAGATAGAGAACTTCATCTTTTACTTTCTTCAGTGAACCCAGGGTAATCACCCATTATTAATCCCTGCACATTCACACTCCCCGTGTCCTTCTTTGAACTCCTCGATGGCCTGTCCATACTGGTATGAGCACACCAAGATCACGTTCTTACACCTCACAAAACCAAACCCACTTTTTCTTACTTCAGTCCAAGCCTGACACGTAAAGCCCCTCAGCCCCACTCCAGGCAGGTGCCCACTACACCCACCAAGAAGAGTGCAACACCTTCTCCTCATTCCTGTTTCACGTGGGAAGAAGCACTCCAAGATGAGAATCCTGAAGGTAATCAGAACCCAGCATCCACTTAACAGGTAATGGGATTGTGGGAAAATTTGGGTGGTAAAAAGCCTAGAGATCATTTACCTTATGGCTTTTGTTTCTTCAGCAGCCAGCCTTGCCATGGCACAGAACGTAAACCAAACTACATGGATCCAGCTGGACCACATGAGGATCTTCATCAGTTTCCCTCCTGTTTAGTGATGGAGTAATTTGTGAGGCTGCTGACTAACTTCTTCCACCAATGATCAGTCAGACTTGCTTTCATCAGTTACTAAAACTACGTGATCAAACGTGGCTAATTTTGCCTGAGGTTGATTAGGGAATATTCCGACACACATCCCGCATCCCTGTGGGAGGAACGGTCAGCTCCAGCAACAGGCTGATAATAGAGGAGCAGGAATGTCTTAAAGACACCGCTACTTACGCAGCCATCGTTTGTCCCTTCCTTTACTCCTCCTAGTACTTCCTGGTAGTTTATGAAATAATCATCCTTGGAGTATATATACTCCACAGTATACTCCATAATTCTGTTTTCATGCCGAAGCCCTGAATGATGCAGATGCATCCTAGAATACTAAGGGAGAAGTTTTAATTCACTCCAACTTTTATAGGTAGAGGGAAATGCCTGGCATTTCAAATTTTAGTACAACACAGAGGCCACCCTTTTATACCACATATTCAGCAGTTGTATACAAGCTCCACAACCCCTACACAGCCAGCAAGCCTCTATTTTTCTTCCCCTAAAAACTTTGGGAAAATAGATAATTAACCTGTGGCTCTCATAATGCTTTCTCATGTATGTGTTATAAGGACAGTATTTTTAATGAGATGTACTAGGACAAAAGACAGGTCTATTCAACAACTGTGATTCATCCAAGTTCAAGCTGCCAAAAGACAGGATGATCATAAACCACTCCAACATGGGAGGGAAACGCAGGTCACCAGGCCCTTGGCTTTGCAGACCTGACAGCTCCAAATAGTCACCACCAGCAATGACCAGAAAGGACGGTGCCACCGCAGACCCAGTTCCCCACAACAGGCAAAATAGGCATTTTAACCCCAGAACCTGCACTCCACGCTTACCACACCTCAAAGCTACTAAAGATTTCCTAATAGAAAGGAATAATGACATATCAACTTGCAGGGGGAAAAAGGACAAAATCCACTATTAACGATCATACCTTCCAACAGTTCATTCCAATTTTATAACAAGCAATTTTGGAACAATTATTTAAGCATAAAATTTGACATTTTCAGATTAAATTGGGAGAAGACAAATCAAAACTTAGACTTTGCCTGTTCCGGGAGATGGGTGGAGCCAACAGAAACCATGAGCCGACTGACACGGGGAGGGCCTCAACCTGCAAGAACATCTATGAACGACCCTAGACTTTTTTCTTTAGACCATCTTTTCTTTAGATCTTTTTTTAGACCTTTTCTTAAGGCCTTTTTTAATTTAGACCATCCAGCTAACAAGAAAAATAATGTGAGACTGGCCACAAATTTGAGCCTTTTTGCCACAGAAAGGCTTTGGCGTTAAGTCCTGGCCCAGCAACAAATGTGAACCAATTTTCCACACAACACACTGTTAATTTCAGACTTTAGTTCGTTAGAAGAGGCTGAGCTAAAAAGTAAAATTACTGAACAGAAAATCACTTCTGTTTTTACCCCAAACCAGGCCATGACGCCATCAGGAACGGCCACAGCTTTTTTGCAGGTTGGTCTACACAACTTCACGGGTTCTATTCCATCCAATAAACACCCGAGCCGTTTTCTAGTGGTTTAAACACCTCAACAGCAGGAATTAAACTTGCTCCTTCCCGTGGCCACCCCGATAGCTCGCTATAGAATGAGGGAATTGGGCGGTGCTGACTGGGAGATGCCCCCGGGGAGGCCTCGCTGCCCCCCAACTCACCCGACACCCTGGCGTGGAGGTTCTGCTTCATGCTGAGCTGTGGAGGGCCCGAGGTGGTGGTGGTGTCAGTGGTGGTGTCGGTGGTGTGGGCCTGCAGCGCTGCCAGGGCGGCCCGGCGCAGGGCGCTGTCAAAAACGGTCAGGACCTCGCCGGGGAAGGCGTTGAAATACTCCCCGATCTCCATGTTGGTCTCAAAGAGCGTCAAGGCGTCGACGACGACGGGGTAGTGCGCCTCCTCGTCCGCCTCCCTCAGGATGGCCAGGATGTCGTCCCTGTGGTGCTCCAGCAGGTAGGACTCGAAGACCTGCCCGATCAGATTCACCTGGTCCGCGCTCAGCGCCATGTTGCCCCTCTGCGGGTGGGGGGAAGAGGTTACAAAGCCGGGCTTTTCGGTAAGGCCACTCGGAAAACTTCGCTTTTCACTCAGAAGAGCCCGTCACGGGGAGGGAAGGGGAAGGAGGGGCTCAGGAGCGACGGCACCGCGGGCACAACGCGGCCCCACCCGCCCCTCACACAGAGCTCCCGCCAACCACCCGCCGCGCCCCCGCCAGCCAATCAGCGCCGCCCCGCCTCCCGTCAATCACGCCTGTCCCGCCCCCCCCGGTCGGCACCCCCCGCCAGTCAGTCAGTCAGTCCGTCAGCCCGCCCCGGCGGTGGGTTGCTCGGTGCCGCGCTACTTAGGCCGCCGCGGTGGCGGGCAGGGCGCTCCCCTCTCTCCCCGCTAATGCCGGCAAGTGAAGCCGCCCGCTCCCCCGGTGCGTCGCCCGCTCGGTGGGGGGTGAGGGGAGCGGCAGCCGCTTGTTCCGCCCCGCCC